GTCCAAACTCGGTCCTGGAGGGCCGGTGTCCTACAAAGTTTAGTTGCAACCCCAATCAGACACACCGGGGCTAGCTAATCAAGCTCTTACTAGGCTTTCTAGAAAGAAACTTGCAGGTTTTGAGGCCATTCATTCATTCGTTTTCTTGTCGGCTTAGTCTCTTTATTAATCTGGGGTCGCCACAGTGGAATGAACCACCAACTTATCCAGCATATGTTTTACGCAGTGGATGCCCTTCCAGCTGCAACCCAGTACTAGGAAACACCTATACAATCTTGCATTCACACAAACACACACACACACACACACACACACACACACACACACACACACACACACACACACACACACACACACACACACACACACACACACACACACACACACCAGGCCACTGCGTTAAGGATCTCTGCCGGGAAGCCATGCCTACTTGAGGATTTCACTGACAAATTTATTAAAGACCTTTATCACTGAACCATCATCAGAGAGAATAAATAAGACATAAAACATTATTGTTTTTCCACAGAACATACACAGGAGCGCCTCCAAACGTTTCCAACAGAGAGAAATGAACGACACACTGATGCATAGAGGTACTGATCTACTGAAGAGAAACAGACAACAACTACAGCTCGTCTTCCAGATCGCAGATCTTCAGTGAACATTGATCAACAGTTGAAACTTCAGTGTTGAGTTTTCATCAGGTTTGCATGCTCAAATAATGATTTACAATGATAGAAACTGACGTTAATGAGATAATTTGGTGATTGTTATTGTGAAATGTAGGAATTACAGGGGGTTTGGAGTGGATTAACCCCTTAATTAACGCTTGAAGGACGTCACAAGATGTACAAGGGTCAGCCCTTAGTGAGTAATAGCTTTTCTGAAATGTATCCTAAATAATAATATTAATACAAATAAAAAAATAGATAATATAGGCTAAATATACATTTGACCACCCCTATTACGGTTCATACCATTGTGAATGCATGATCGCGCCAATTTATAATGAGATGATTTAGTGATTGTTATTGAGAAATGTAGGAATTACAGGGGGTTTGGAGTGGATTAACCCCTTAATTAACGCTTGAAGGACGTCACAAGATGTACAGGGGTTAGCCATTAGTGAGTAATACTGATATGTATCCTAAATAATAACATTAATACTAATAAAAAATAGATAATATAGGCTTACATACATTTGATCACCCCTATTACGGTTCATACCATTGTGAAAACATTAATGCTCTAATCCAAAATTAAGTGATTCTTATTGAGAAATGTAGGAATTACAGCGGGTTTGAAGTGGATTAAACCCTTAATTAACGCTTGAAGGACGTCACAAGATGTACAAGGGTCAGCCTTTAGTGAGTAATAGCTTTTCTGATATGTATCCTAAATAAAAATATTAATACTAATAAAAAAATAGATAATATAGGCTAAATATACATTTGACCACCCCTATTACGGCTCATACCATTGTGAATGCATGATCGCGCCAATTTATAATGAGATGATTTAGTGATTGTTATTGAGAAATAATGATAAATGGGACGAATTACATCATGGATTGAACCCTTAATTAAAGTTTTAATAGTTAGTCTTCTCTGATCTGTATCCTAAATAATAATATTAATACTACTAAAAAATAGATCATATAAATATACATTTGGCCACCCCTATAACGGTTCATACCATTCCAATTCGTCTACGCGCTAAAAACCTCATTTAACCGTTTGAAACCGGCAGATCTAGAGCACTGATAGACATGGTGAGCGTCCACAAGACTGTTTTCTCCTAAAATCGCTGTTTGTTTTTACATGTAGCCTAAAGGTAAACACAAATTTCACTCATAGTTTGACTTATTGTGACTTCTGATTGAGCTAATCGGGATACTGTACATCAGAATACACTAAATATCCCTCAGACAACTGAAAACTTAAATAAGCTTTATTAATAAATTAGATATATTTAAATTAACACCCACATTGGATTCACTAAAGCATGTAGCAGATACACAAAATAACATTATCGAAAAAGAAACAAACTAAAACGGACTTTAGTTTAAGCTACAAATGTTCACTTTTTCTGAAAATACTAATTTTATTGGCCATCACTGTTATGGAGAACAGTTTGGTTGCATCCAAAATTGCATACTCCTATACTATACTGCTAACAACAATATGCGAGCAGAGTAGTATGTCCGAATTCATAGAATTTAAAAAACAGTATGTGAGAAGTACCCGGATGACCTACTAGTTCCGGCGAGATTCTGAAGTGTGGATCGGATGGTAAAGTCTTTACAGCTGCGGATACGCACATCAATATAGCATCGTTTTACACTGTATAGCAATAATTAATATTTTTATGGTCCTGTGGCGGTTAGGTTTGAGGTATGCGTGTTAATAAAATACAATTTATTGGGTACACTGTAAAAAAAAATCCATAATTTTACGGTTTATTTAAGGTTTATTTCACAGGGAAAAAAACTTAAAATAACGGCTGTAAAATTACAGAAATATACCGTAAAATAACTGATATTAAATTACAGAAGTTTTCTGGTAAATTTCTGTAAATTATTATTCGTTATTTAAGGGTAAATTTCTAAAATTTAACGTCATTATTTTACGTTTTTTCCGTCACCCCAGCTGCCGAAAATAAACCGAAAAACTTGTTTTTCTATATAGTGTAATTTAATAACTAACTAAATAATACTCGGTACAACTACTGCTTTTACATTACTGTGACGGTTGGGTTAAGGGTTGGGTAGGGGTAGACGTTAATAAAATACAATAAATGGGAAATTTTATAAGTAATTCTTGTTAACTTCCGGCTACAAACGTATCTGATCCACCAACAACCGCATCAGATGGACACTACGCTATCTCATGAAGCACCGTGAGAGATTTCATGGGAGTGAATCGATGCAACTGACGTGGGCAGTCATGTGATGATGTCAAAATAGCGGATGTAGTACGTCCAAGTTCCATTCATAGTACTACTCAGTAGGTACTGCATTTGAATTTAAATGTACGACTCGGCCGTTAGAAAAGTGCTTTCTATACAGTATAAATGTGAAAAGTATGAATGGAATTCGGACATACTACATCCACAATTTTGTCATGGTCACGTGAACTACATGCGTCAGTTGAGTCACTTCACTCCCATTCATGAATTCTCTTGCGGGGCATCATGGGATAGCGCAGCATGCATGGGATGCGCACTTCAGAATCTCGCCGGTAGTAGTAGGTCATCCGGGTACTTTTCACATACTAATTTTCCAAATGAACATATTACTCTGCTCGCATACTGATTTTAGCGTACTGTATAGTATGTAAGTATGCGCTTTCGGACGAAGCGTCACATTTATACTGTATAGAACGTACTTTTATAATGCCTGAGTAGTACATTTAAATTCAAATGTAGTACCTACTCAATAGTAGGCGACGAACGCAGCCTTTAACCTTTTTTGTTTTGCTAGTTTCTCTCCGGTTGCCGTAAAAAAAGAGAAACTAGCATAAGAAAGTCAAAGTAAATGCTGTAGTCTTGTGTTTCTTTACTAATCTTTCTCAATAGCAATCAAATGATCCCCTAGTTACCTCATTAACATCATCGCAGTGTTCTTGAATCTGTTTCTATCATTTAGCACACCTCGTACAATTTCAGCATTGACGTTTTAAACTCCCAACTGTCGATTCAATGTGAGTTCAATGCACGTCTGCTATCTGAGCTATCCCTGTCGTGAAACATAAAAAAGTCCTACTGTCCTCATAGTGTCCAAGAAGGGGGGTTGTATAAAAATAAAGACTCCACATTGATAAAATGTTATATATGCATATAGACATTTGGCAACGACCAGAACTGGTGATTTCACATTTAACACACAGCAACGATGGATGACGAGCGCTGGATCTTCTTCAAATGATGTGCTCTCAAGAAACTAAACTGTTATGGTTCAAAGTTAACGAAGAGCTGAAAGCTTTCCTCGCAATTGTTGCGTCCAAATGTTGTGAAATCGAAGCCTCCGAAGAACAGCCATTGTCAAAGTAACTGAAAGGTCTAGTAATCCAAGTCCATCGCTGCAGTCTATGGAGATTTACTGAATCAGAATTGGGCATGATCCACTTCATCCAGCCAGGACGCCGGGCTCGCAGGGAAATCCGGATATCCGCCGCTGCTTCCCGTGGATAGATCGGAGCTCGGGCCGTTCCCCGCAGCCATCATCCGAACCCCCGGCGTCATGTTCTGGCCTCCGCTTTGACCCACCATGGGCAGGCCAGACTCTGGGTAGACCAGGCTGGAGATGAGCGGCTGGTGTCTGGGTAAGGGCTGCAGTGGGCCGGGCGACTGCGGGAGGCTGTAGGGGCTGCTGGCCTGGATGTCGTGATACGGTTCCTGCGACGGGATTATAGCACCGTGCTCCAACGGAAACGCCGGATGATTTCCACCCTGGCGACTGAGAGCTGGTGAACTTTCGCTCAGACTGCTGTAGATGCCATTGGAGTGACCCAAATCGGACATGGGTGGCTCGTCTGTGCAGATGGAAAGCAGACAAACAAGTAAGTCTTTGTTTTATTTGCTAGTATCTGTATGGTAAACTAAAGTGGAGCCTCTAGTGAAGTGGTTCGCAAACTGTGGAACGCGTACAGGCTTCCTTCTAGTGGTACAATCTTTCTATTTCTGGCTTAGTCCCTTTATTACTCTGGGGTCGCCACAGTTAGGTGGCTAATTAGTACCAGTTCAGTCGTACGAAAATGTACGATTTTAAAAAGGAGGCGTGGCACCCAGCTCCACCCCTAACCCCAATCGTCATTGGGTGATGAGCAAATCATACTAAATAGTGGTGTTTTGGTGACTGTCACTTTAAATGCAAATGAGATTGTGCTCTATTCAGAAGAGGGCGGAGCTACTGATGGCTGT